GCTACATGCATTGTTGGACACCGGAGCAAGAGTCAATAGAATCAATCTACAAAGATCACGTCGCACCAACAGGTAAAGGAACAAGCACATCTGTATTTTCAAAATAATTCACCAAAGGCATCTACATTTTGTCGAAATCCTAGCTATATGAATAAATATATTAATATGTTTTTACACAAATGCTGTCAAAATGTATCATTCTGTTTGTGAAACAGATGGCAGCATGTAGCATATGGCTACACACAAAATACAAGTGGATTTTATTTTGAAATCAGAAGTTTAAAAAAGACAACAGCGATGCAGTTTCAACTTGTTTCCAGTCTGTCTTCAACAGAATGAATCTTTTTGCTCTGATTTTCATATTTATCACGGAGCAGAACCACATGCAGTGTAAACTGTGGGTAAGAGGGAATTGCTTTTTACGGCATAAAAATAAGTTTTACTCTTGTAAATTTTGTAGTGGACTTAAAATTAATAGATACTAATGGATCTGCTAACTGTTGTTAGATGGCAAAAAAGCTAATCCTCTTAACAAGAAGCTAGTTCTACTATTAGCAGATTAGCTAAACTGTGCACACCACAGTCAGCCGACATAAAAACACCAAAAATCCTGCCTCTTCATTTGTAACCCTGTGTGCACAGACCAGCTTTCACTTGTTAGCTGGTGATAATGGATGTTTCCTCTGTGGACGTTGTTGTAACTTGGTTAACTAAAAAAATATTGACTGTTTTTTTTTTCTGAGTCCAGGCGAAGAAAGCAACAACCAGCGTGGTAATGGACAATTACAAACAGCTAGAGTTACAGCCTTCGGCTCGGTGCAGCTGCCGGAGCTGATTTTTATTTATTTTTTAATTTTTACCATAAAGAGCAGTTTGGCCTTCGTCTCCAAGGACGTCCTCCCCTGCCCCCGCCGTTTGATCCAATAAGAGAATGGATTCACGTTAGCTCAGACCCTTTCAAAGTAAAAGCGGACAAAGGAGGTATTGACCTTTAACAGAAACGATGAATCGTTTTTGAAAATATCTCACCGTTTATCTCAAAACACAGTTTAATGTGACTCTTTCAAAATAAAAAAAATCAGCAAGAAACAAATCTGTAAATTAAAACAAGCTTTTATTTTTTTAATTAGTCAAAGAATATTTGCTGAAGATGACAGTGTTTCAGAACTGGACCACTACAGCTAATTAACTATTAAAGTCAATCAAATTCAAAATGGCCGCCATCTTGATAAAAACACAAAACAGCTAAAGATCAGTTACTTTTACAGATAATAAGCTAAAATTTGGTGTCTTTATAGCTAAATAGCTAAAACAGCTGAAATTTTCAGTAAAACTGCTAAAATGTAGTTGGAAATTGTTTAATTAGCATTAGAAAGCATAAGAATCATAAGTTTAATGAACTCAGAAATAACGTGTAATAGCTACAAAAAAATGTGTATTTAGCCTAAAAAAGCTAACTTTAGCTAATGACAGCTGAACATTGGCTAAAATTTCAGCAAATAGCTGAATATAGCAGAAAGCATCTGTAAGGAGCATAAATAGCACAAAGTAGCAGAAGAAGTGCAAGAAGTAGAAAAAAGCAGAACAGCAGCGCAAAGAAGCAGAATTTTAGCTGAAATGGCAGAAAAAAAGCTAAAAGTAGCAAATAAAAAGTAGCTAAAATTAGCACAGGAAAATGAAAAAGAGCAGAACCGGATCAAAATTAGGTTAGGTTCTGTAAAGATTTTGAAATATTTTAAAGGATTTTAAGGCTGTTGATTCATTTTCAGCGGCAAAAATGTGACAAAAAAAATGAAACAGCTGAAAAAGTATAAACAGCTGAAATACCAAAAGTCATAGCAGCCTTGGTGTAAATGAGCTGAACGTTTTGATAAATGAATTTATGACACTATTAAAATCACACTATTAGAACAGTAGAACTGATGTGAAAGATATTTTTATCCAGTTTTTTACAGTAAAATGTTATTTTGCTGCAGTCGTGTGGTTGATGGGTGGAGAGGCCAGAATAATAAATAATCAGGGCGGGGGTGTAACCTACATGTCATTAGTAAGAGCTTCCTCTTTTCCAGCATAAGGAGAGATTTCCGCCGTTTATCTGATCAGCTTGGATCAATGATGGGGATCATATTGTTTCACAGCACTTTGTGTGACAAAGGTCTTCAATTAACTAATGTGTAGATCCCCATCAATCTGTCCTCCAGATAGCTGAGAATCTGTGATTAGCTTGCACCCTGCCTCTGTCTGTGAGCCTCACGTGAGTCTTCACTGTGTTTGTCGACCGGTCCCAGTGTCCTGGTCCTGGCTGCGGATCCCCGGAGTGCTGCAGCGCCTGGGCTTCACCTACTTTCTTCTGTCTCTCCTGCAGACTTTCTGGGGCCGGACAGAAAGCCCAGAGAGAGAGGTGAGCGCTTCTGTCAGCTTCACTTTGATCAGCCGCTGCAGGCGGGAGGAGAAACACAATAAAGAGGTCTGAGGCAGCAGATCTGAGGACTGGAGATAGGATCGCACTGATTCAGACTGGTTGGCAACTCAAAACTGTCAAAATAAAATAATTTTCTTCGAGTTTTTGTGACCAAGTTCCAGTCTTTTGTTTTTCAGCTTGTAACAATCAGCTTATTATTAATTTCATACACATATCTTTCCAATAACATCTTTATCCTTTTGTTCATGATAATATCAGAATAAAAGCTCTTCTCGTCTCTTTGTTCCAGATTTCCTCAGCTTACATTTAGTCTGGTTATCAGTCCACTGTGCGTCTTCCAACATGGCGGACAGGAAGTTTGCCGCCCACGTCCCCCGCTTACATCACTGCCCCGCGCCGTAGGCTGTCCCACTCATTGATACATATCACTGGATTGGGCGTCACGTGACCTGGGCGTRGMTTCGCAAGGGGGATTTTTATGCTAATGCTAACGCTAACCATTGAAATCAATGAGCAACACGTAGCGCAGTGCAAACAAACACTTAATAAATATACAAATGTCACAAATACTTTGCTATAAACTACATAAATTGTTACATGTTTACAAGAGCTAAAAGGGTTATGTTTCACAGGTAAATATTACGCATATTTAACCAAAATTAATTATTTTAATAGTAAAACCTGTGTGCTAACATTAAAAAAGCTTTAATGTTTATGTTTAACCTTGTTTAAAATCGATTTTATCTGTTGTCAAATATATTATTTACAGATATTAAACATGTAAAATATGGACTTTTTTGGATTGCTGACAAGTTAGACAAAATAATTCAGAAATTATGATGTAGGCTCACCGATGACAGACAGTGATGTAATGATTGAGCATCATAAAATAGTCATGTTGTCAGACAGGTCGGTTTGTTCAGATATTATATTTTCTACATCCAGTATTTGTGTTTTTCAACATTTCCTGACAAAAAGAAGAAAGAAAATGTGCACCAGCTGTGGGTTGGCTTCAGATACAGCCTGTGTCTTTATGAAGCTAAAGAATAATTATTTTATATAAAAATTTATTCATTAAATTCTTTGTGACCTGAAATAATGAATTTTTTTTGACTGATGTTAAAATTATTGTAGTTTTTAGCAAAAACCTTTGTAAAGTACATAAAACTATCAAACAGTATAAATACATATCATTTTGTATTGTGTACTTTTGCAATTCTATAGGTGTTTTATTGAAGAAATATTTGTTAAACATACATACATATTAGGGGTGCAACAACACACGTACACGTATCGAACCGTATCGAACAGTGCTTTAGGTTCAATACACACTTGTATGGAACAAAACAGATTTTAAAATTTATTTTATCAACTTGTCTTCTGAAGATGCTCTGTGTTGAAGGATCAGTGGATCTGTGTTCGACTACTCCACCTAGGCTGCATTTTTGAGCGCAGATCCACTGAGAAACTTGCTGTTTCAGCAACATTTAATTTAAAAACTGTACTTTTGAGGTTAAACAAATGTTCATAATTAATTTAAATAAATTACAAGTTAAAATGGGCATGGAAATTTTTCTTTTTTGTATCGAAAAAAATATCGAACCGTGAGACTAAAGTATCAAAACTGAACCGAATCGTGAATTTTCTACATCGTTGCACCCCTAATACATACATATATATACAGTGTATGCACTTGAAAGATGAATTTTATCATTTTAGCTCATTGATTTGTATGAAAAAACCCACCTGTGAAATGCAAAATACTTAATTTAAGCCATTGTTAGTCATTTAAATTAGTTATTTGTTTCAAATTTCTATAACTATAAAATTCACAATTTCCTCAGCTTCATTTTGAACCATAGTTTGTAAAAATCAAGCAAGAAAAAAGAAATTTAGAAAAGTTTTTCATCAGGATGACACCTCACAGTCCATTGACCTTCATTCATTTTGTTGAGTCTCCATTGGAGAACAGAGCTCCAGTGTGAGCACATCCATGTAGCTAGCAACGCGCTAGCCACGCCCAATCCAGCAATATATATCAATGGTCCCAATTTACGGGCGCCTATTCGTGGCCAACAAAACCCCGAAAACGAGTATCGTACGCGGCCGACGGTATCCCAGAATTCATTTCACCGTCGACACATTAAACAGAAAAACAAAAACGACAAAGGTTCTTTTTTTTATTTTACTGTGGATTTTTTTTAATGACGGTTTGTAAATATACCACAAACCAACAAATAAATGCAATTTAAGCAACTTAACTGAAGAAAGTTTTGTTGTAATGGTATGTTAAATAAAATGCAGCTACAAGGACTGATACTGGAGCTAAAATGAAATAATTAATGTTTTATTTATTATTACGTCGGCCGCAGCCCATGATTGGAGACACGTTTGTGTTTGCAGCATCACTGGAGGACGTCTGCGCAGGACGTCTTCCTGTTCTGGCCACAGTGGCTGGTCATCATTCTGCTGGAGACCATGTGGCTCTGCATCACTTTCCTCATGCCGGTACCAAACTGCCCCACGTGAGTGCACGTCACTGAATCTGTGTGTTGTTTGCTTTATAAACCAAAGTGTTTTTTATTTTTTATTTTTGTGGGGGACATCAGGGGTTATTTAGGAGCTGGTGGAATCAGTGACGATGGTCGTTACCCAAACTGCACCGGGGGCGCAGCGGGGTTCATCGACAGATGGATGTTTGGAGATAACATGTACAGATATCCAACTTGCAAAGTGAGCCAGATTCAAGATTTTAATGTTGTTAATAATAATAATAATAATAATAATAATTCTCTGCTTATTATTAGATGTAAACCTGACTTATTTCTCTGCAGGAAATGTATAAAACCGTTCAGCCCTTTGACCCAGAGGGGGTTCTGGGGACGATAAATTCAGTTGTGATGGGATTTCTTGGGATGCAGGTAAGCCGGACCACTTATTATGACCCCTGCACTCGAAGTGGGGTTCATAATGTTTTCATAATGTTTATTAATTAATCAATTTGTTTAATCATTTATTTATTTCTGTGAATTTTTTTTTTTTTTTGGTCGACCGTATCACGAAAACAGCTGCACCGATCAGCGTGAAATTTGGTAGGAATGTAGATGTGCACCACCCCACGCAAAACAGTAAYATTTTGGGATGCTCCTAGCAGCATGAAAGTTGTCAGGAATGGAGATGTGTCTGATCTACACTGCTCCAGCCAACAGTTTTTTGATAGACCCCATATTTGAGGAGGGGGCTCCATCTGAGAAGTCAGTGTCTGGACAGACAAAAATAGCTTATAAYTCAAAAACTATTCAACACAGGATCTTCAGATTTGTTTTTGTTGTCTAGCTCTGATAAAGGGCTATCCATTGGGTCCACCAATAGCTGCATTTCCGTTGTGAACGTGCACAAAACTTTGTCAATATTTCGTTAATGTCAAAAAAACACAGTTTCACAATTGCGGTGTTTCCATTAAGAAATACTATTAAAGTCACGTGAATACGTTTGTTCTCATGATAAGTCATTACAAACATGG